TCTGGAGCTGTTGTCACCCATAAAGTTGGACAGAGAGAAATGTGCATGCTCTTGTATTTAAATGAATAAAGCCTTCTTGAAAACGATGCAGACCTTGTGAAAGTGAGTGCAGTTTCGTTGTTGTCTGAGCTCTTATCAGCTGGTGCAATATTTGTTTAATTTCTGTGTTCTTCGCCATTTCCGGACTTGGAAACTTATTTAACATCCAATAAATTTGGCCTAGCTGAAGAATTTTAACATGTATATATAGTAGGATGTTCCGAGGGAAACTACTGTCTTGAAAAGCAAAGGAAATACCTCTGAAGATCTATATTTTTCAGTTTCATGATCATTTTTAAGACGGTAGGACTCCTTTGAACGAGTGATCAGCTCGTCGCAAGGCCTCTACCTAAACACAGGACAACACAAACAGAGTAAACACATACACATACCAAACATCCATCCACCGCTCGGCTACCGTGACCGGCCCTGAAGATCTATAGAGAATATAAATTTTATTAGAGCTATCACAATTAATCTGGGTGACTGGCAATAATTTGATTGGTGGTTATTTTTATCATCTAGTGGATATTTATTATTATTATTATTATTATTATTATTAGAGGGGGTGGGTTTCCCCATGCACTTAGACCAATTATTGGTCCATTGTGCGTCCCCCTTTAATTTCTACTGTCGCCATACCCTACCGGTACTGGTGCGTGCTATCAGCCCCGTTCAGCCAACGAGGCCGGCCGTCAGTACCTGATATTTCCCCCGTCTACCGAGGCATTGGAAACTACTTGGGCGGGAAACTGTTGCTTAATTTTGCTCAGAGGTCTCCTAGAGACATGAGGATCTTTTACGTGCCGTAAATCTACGACACGGGACCCTCGGCTTAAAGTCCCTCCCGGAGGACTTGTTCCCTGAATTTTTCCGCCCTTAAAAATTCCACGACCTCCGCCGGGTTTGAACCCGCGTACCTTGAGTCATGAGGTGGGAACGTTACCCGTAGGCTACGGAGGCCGCTCATCTAGTCGATAAGTGCATCATAACCTCATCCGCATTTCTGCTGTGGTATCCAAGTAGCGAACGAATTTCGTGATACATGATCTTCATGAAACCTTCTCTGGTTAGGTGTCCTGTCGATCAAGAATCTCCCAAGAAGAGCCTCGTAGCAGCAGCTTCGGGACTTATTATAGACCTAAGAGAATTCATATTTACCCACAAATTTACTAATAAAGCTTTGAGTAAAAATAATATATTTTTAGTAATGTGTTTAGGGTATGCTGCCGCTATACAAACCGTTGTCAACAAAAGTTGTCTCGAAATTCTTAAATCAGAAACGGCTGCACACGAAGTTCAATCACTTAAAAACAGTAAAGTTATCCATGTAACAAGCCATGGAGACCCATAAGGTTGTTAGACACCGAGGAGCACTTGTAACTTGAGCCCATAACGTGTTACTTTCCTATTACTGAATTTTCTTTATATATGACCTACTGATTTAAGCGCACAACAAACTGGTAGAGACGAGTGGATACGATGGTACAGTTCATAGGTGACTTTTCATAGTAACGTTAACATAAAAGTCAAATAGGCCAATTATGTTTTGTGAAGAAATGCTTCTAATAAAAGGGTTGAGCAGCGTTTAATAGGAAGATCATTCAGTGTTCATGAATTTGTTACGGAGTGCTTCTTAATGATTGATATATACTCGTATACACAACACGGTAGCGTAGTTGGTTGAGGCACTATGCTACAAGCCGGAAGGTCGCAGGTTCGATTCCCGACGAGGTCATTGGATTTTTCAGTTGTCCTAACTCTTCCAGCCGCACTGTGATCCTCGGGTCCACACAGCCTCTAACAGAAATGAACACCAAGAATCTTCCTGGGGGTAAGGGGCGGCCGGCGCGTAAAGCTGACAACACCACCGCCATCTGTGAGCCGATTGTCTAGAAAATGTGGGAGCCTGAGCGTGTAACAACCCCATGGGCCTCCATGGCCTGTTAGAGGGATAGTGTTATCTTTTATTTTTATTTGAATCTCTATCATTTAGCTAACGTAACTGATACAGTACAAGAGGCATTAAATTTAATTAACAATTTTATTTAATCGTGTTGTAATTCCTAAATGGAAACGAAAAACAGCGTTTCATACGATATATGACATAAACACCGTCCCAAGTGCAACAATTTATTGTAGTTCTTTTGTCTTGCCCTCTTCTACACTACATGTTTCGGCCGCAAACGGCCATCATCAGGTGTATGCACTTACGTAGCTGTTACACTGCATCTAGTTTAAAATTTAAAACCACGAGTTTTCCCAATTATTCTTTTCGTCGTTACTAACAGGTTTCAATTTATTGGAATCTACTTCGCTGATATCTGTCTGCTTTGTGCAGTATCTTTGTTGCCTACACTCGTCAATTTTGATTATTATGAACTGGCACTTTTAAAATCTTCAGTTCTAATTTAAAAATTCTTTTAAAATTAAAATTCTAAGGGTTACTCGCCCTATGTCTGTAGTGCTGCAGCGGCTACTTCTTGTTTTTAGCACTGTTATCCTGTGTAGGCTCCCTGTGTGCGGCCGCTGCTTATCTTTACTACGTGTCCACTGCAGACATAGGGCGAGTAACCCTGAGAATTTTAATTTTAAAAGAATTTTTAAATTAGAACTGAAGATTTTAAAAGTGCCAGTTCATAATAATCAAAATTGACGAGTGTAGGCAACAAAGATACTGCACAAAGCAGACAGATATCAGCGAAGTAGATTCTAATAAATCGAAACCTGTTAGTAACGACGAAAAGAATAATTGGGAAAACTCGTGGTTTTAAATTTTAAACTGGGTACAGTGTAACAGCTACGTAAGTGCATACACCTGATGATGGCCGTTTGCGGCCGAAACATGTAGTGTAGAAGAGGGCAAGACAAAAGAACTACAATAAATTGTTGCACTTAGGACGGAGTTTATATCATATATCGTATAGAGTGCAACAGGATGCTTAAATATAACAGCGTTTCATACATTGACTGCTGGTATATGTAGAAGGAAAATTTCCACATACGCCTCAGAATACTGGACACGCTGAATAAAAGATATTTTATGCTGGTGAACACTGCAAAACAAAGCAAAATTTGCTTGAGAAATAATGTCCAAACTATCCGTGCCGAATTTCTGCTCTCCTAATTGCTTTGCTGCCGCCCCCCAAATTGCTGTCATGATCTTGTCAGCCCTCTTGAAGGTTTTCGGTGGTGCGGATCATTTTTGACGTCATTCCAAGAGGAGCCTCGTAGATTCTGGTGTAAAGTAATGCACCCACATCTCGTCACAAGTCAGTGTAGCTTCGAAAGTTAATGTCATGAGGACTCATCGTTCTTGCACTTTCTTGGAAAATGAGTTCTCAAAAATAATAGTTTCTACTCCACGGATACTTATGTATGTTACAGATGCAATATCACGCACTGTAATTCGCTTGCTTTCTGAAACCAGGTTTTAGGCATGGCTGAACGTAAGTATGTGGTCTGTTAGCGAGTCCTCGGCCTCCGCAAAGTTTCAACAATCGTACACACTGGTACGTGATCGGGTTTCTTCTCCATATTGTCACTTAGCCTATGTACACTTTCGCCTTCTCTTTTACACGCAATTTCGCGGTACATCGCTGTTGTACACGCGGAATATGATTACCTGACGCCATCTAATACTATTATTATTTTTGTTATTGCTAGGGGGGTGGGACTAAGTCCCTTGTACTGCGGCCACTTCTGGCCTATTGTACCAGCCCCAGATGATAGGTGAGGGTAATTGTGGAGCAATTGGTGGAATGAAGATTGGCAGGGGAAACCGAAGTACTTGGAGAAAACCTGCCCCAGCGCCACTTTGTCCACCACAAATCCCACTTGACGAGAACCGGGATCGAACCCGGGCCGCTGCGGTGAGAAGCCAGCGACTAACCGCTTGAGCTAAGGCGCGGCCTCATCTAATACTAACTCTAATAAACGAAGTAATTCATGTTCATATCCAGTATTTAAGATTTTATGCATCATAGGTTAATGCTGTGTGACTTGAACGCTCTAGCCCCAAAAGCAGAGCTCTTCATATGGGCCCAGAAAACAGAATGACGATTTTTCGAAAACTGCCCTGAACATTAAGTTTAAATTTAATTTATTTATGGGAGGCCATCGCCTTAAATAAAACTATGTCGGTTATATCTGAAAGAAAACGATACGAACACAAGGGGTCCAATTTTTTTGCAATCCTCACATGTCATAGCTTGTATAATTAGCGATCAATAATGGTATACTGAGCAACAATTGATTTCGTCTCCGAGGCAACGTAGACAAGGCAAATCTTATGTGAAAAAGTATGTTCTGTGTCCTTGCAGTAATTTTTATTCCGAAGGCCGTGGTTGGTTTTTGGATGTGTTGAATTCGAAAATGTAGGTCTATTCAAACATTATTTTGTTTGATTATCTTGAAACCCACAATGCTTAAGGAGAATATGATGGACAATATGCGACGAACGAAAATGCGAGTACGTTTTTCTCTCTAGCTTTTGTTCGAAACATTTCTCTCTCCGATGAACATTTAGAGACATGCGCAGAAACGCATGTAAGACTTCGTGTAAAGTCATCGTTAAATAATGTAGAATTCGTCACTCTCACAGCAGCGTCTGTGAGTAGTCCGGTCTTCTGGGATATAACGCCGTATAGTCCGGCGAAAGTCAATCGACGTTTAGGAGGAACATACCGATAAAAATCTTCCATTCAAATGTAAATTGAAGTATTAAAATTTTATAGTTTTATAGAAATCCGTCCAGTGGCTCTCGAATTAAGGAATGCACACTACAGGGACCGGTCAGCAGTATATGCGTTCATTTAGGACATCTCGTGGAAAGAACACATAATTATGTAACGTTACTGTGTCAAACAGGAATGATGCAGTGTAGAAACCTCACCCATTCCCAAGCAGATATTAACTGAAATTACGTAATATGAGTGAGGTATCCATTTCCTTTGTTTCAGGATAATGAGACTGACGGCTTTCTAGTACCATAAGCAAGTGACTAGCAGCATGACAAGTGAGGAAGGACCCGTCAAAATGGCGGCGCAAGAAGACAACGCTGTGAGGATGGCAGGATATCTCGATAAGAGAGGGAAAATGGTGAGTTGCAATATACGTAGTTTCCTGTAAAGAGGTCAGGCATTCTTTTGTACCTGCTGGAAGCCATGGCTGACAGAGAAAGTACGTGTTATTTCAAACGTGTAAAAGGAAACAGAGTTTAAAAATTGTGATGGATAAACAGTGACTAGGTGACAGATGCCGTCAAGTACACGTTTCTCTAAACCCAAGTAGTGACTGTAGCAGAGAAGGTGGTCTTTGAGTGATTCTTCAAACGTAAACATCTACAGTTCGCAGATAGAAAGTTTACAACATTCCATTGTATGTAATACAGGGCGGTCAATTGATCAGTGAACTATTCACTATGTTCCAGAGCCAGTAGCACCAAATTCCAGGAGCGAAACTTGAGAGGTGCTATCGGGGATGGAAAGATGACATTTCCTTATTTTAAAAAATCAAAACAGATGCTAAATTCATGTTGGATTAGCATCTTCTGTCTTCATACTACTTTTCATGAGGTGTTTCATAGCGAAAGATGTGTTTATTGTATAACACAACATAACATTTGTGTGGTTATTCGTGTGTATAGGCCTACAGGCTAGTAACATGTGAAGCAATGAGCGGATTCTCATTGAACCCGGTATGACTAGGCCACTACAACCACTGTACAGTCTAATTTCTCACCAGAAATGATAACAACATGGCTGACATTCGAATAAAGTGGGAGCAACATAGTGCCAGTTAATATATAGTCTTGAAGTCTTTGTGGTAATAGATCTTAAGAATGCAGTCTTTTAGATTATATTTTTGTAGCTTGTAGAAGAATATGGCAGCCGTCAAAATGTGTACTCCTAACTTTCGAATAAACTATGCGGCATTTTAGATGAAAATTGATCATTCTATATGGAACCTGTTCTGTATGTCAACAATAGGTACCGTGACGTTTGAGAAGATGTTCAAATTGTCCGGAGAATTCCCTCAATGCAATGTGAAATAGTGGAAAACAAGAGCTGAGATAGATCACTAAATTATTCATTTGGGTGTATGGTAGCTCACCACAGGGAACGGAGCATTTGAATGAAAATAAGAACCGAAAGTTCTAATTTATATGTAGATTTGAGGGTTACTAAGCATCAGCCATACAATAACTTTTCCATTCACGGAGTAAATAAACTCGGTACAGGGAAAGTTTATGAATATGCACAAGTAATGACGTCATTATAATGTAGGAAAGATTTCTCTGCAATTCCCAAAAGACAGTTTGCTAATTGCATATGCAGTCGGAGTGGTGTTCCTTGATGTTTAGTTACGGGGCGCCACAGTCCGAGCCATTAAGAACATGAGTGGCCTAGTGAAATCTGTTGTCGCTTCCAGATTCCCAGATATAGACGTAGTAGGCCAATGAATGAGGTCAGCTCTTTCTAACGGACCCAACTGAATAGGTGTCCCCCAACCCCTCACATGAAGACGGAAACAGACCTGTTTCCTAGACAGTGTGCAAAATCCAAAAGCTCAATAGCTCTTAGTGCCAAAATTTGTTGTTTAAAATTACGAATTTATTATAACCAGGACCCACAGTTCTCTTCCTTTTTCTGGTGATTAGCATAGGAAAAAATCGTATGCTACTGGGCTCTTTGTTGGAGCTACAGAGGAAGTATGTCCTCTATTTATCCCACCCTCCTGAAGATGGAAGTAGAACCTACGAGTATATTAGGAACGTGAATAACCTTGAATGCTGGGCAACGCCTAAAATAATAGTTTTATCTGGATCACACAATCGTCAAAAACCTTTAAATTTATTCTGTACATTCAAGTTTCGCCACAATGGATGGGCAGTTGCAAGGAAACACAAGGATGCTCCTGTGATACAGATATAGGATGCCACTTCTTGAAAGGCCTCTTAGTAGTCTTGACCAGTTATACTTATGCCTATATTGGCACTATCCTCTCTGCATCCGACACGTTTTTACGTTGCTTCGTACTGTGGTGACATGTACAACAAATTCACTAAAACCGATCACAATTTATACCTTGCCTCCCGCGCTATTACCTTAGTGTGGTGAAGACATTAGCATGCCCTGATCACCTGGAGATTTATGCTAACGGGGGCGTAAGTTCCTGGCAGGATCATCATGATAGACAGGTCCAAGTGTAGGGGCCAGACGAAAGGTAGTCCCTGGTCTTCCGGTTTGGAGTTTGGTTACGAGGCTAATATAACGTCATGTAACTATATACAAGTATGTTAAGAAACATGACGAGAGATTTCAGTTGGAAATTTTGAAAGTAAATCAAAGGTAGAAAATGTTGAAAAGGCTGAGATCATAAAGAATGATTTACGAGAGCTGAAAATGAAGACATGGAGGTTAAAGACAAGCAGTAGAGAGGAGTGGGCATCCGTTGGAAAGAAGGCCAAGGTTCTATAGGAAGGCAGAACCAGGGTGCACTGTAATGTAACCAGATATGTACGCGCATTGATATTCTAGTTACATAACAATATACGTTTCGGGTATAAGTACATGTGTTTAGCGTCCTATCTCTTCATTCATAAGAATAATGTAAATAGATTTCTTTGTATTAGTAGCATGAGTAGCGAAAGTTTCGTAACACAGAGCACCTTTCGGTGAGTGGTTGTTAACTCTTAACTTTACCAAAGAGTGAAAGATCAAGATATACGAGAACAAACAAATAAATTATCGTGTTTCGTCGAACGCAACACAGGGACTGTATAACATTCAATTTGTTTTATTAAAATCACATGTTTCGACCATTTAACTCGTCATCATCCGATGAATACAAACACTTAACAAGTGCTTTATTTGTATTCACTGATGATGACCAGATAAAATGGTCGAAACATGTGATTTTAATAAAACAAATTGAATGTTATACATTCTCTGTGATGCCTTAGGCGGAACAGGATAATTGTTTAGTTTGAATCACGCAACAGGATGCATTCCATAAAGAAACAATAGTAATTTTGCCAGTAGTTTTGTGTGTGTATGTGTGTGTGTGTGTGAAACGTGGTCGCTGATTACGATTAAGGAAATTAGAAAACCGAAATTAACGACCGTGGGGATTCGTTGCCCTGACGACAGGACACCATTTATCCGCAACATTTGGCACTAACTTCTCCGACAAGCGGCGGTCGCTCGGTCGGTTAGTTCGCTTGAGGACAAAAATCACGGAGGTATAACATGGCGAAGAACTTTGCGACTTCCACAGGTCAGCCGGTGTTGTTTGGAGGATGAGTGATGACATGTGCAGCAGATGTCACTAGCGGTCTCAAGACCTTGCGCACCTGCCGTGTATTATCTATTACCTGGGATAGGATTCTGAAACCGATGGCCCTGACTCTACAGAGAAGTGTCTCAAAAATTTTAAAAGCCGGCGAAGGGCGGTGATAGCCCTCAGATCACAATATGAGTGGGAGCCGGTATAGCGCAGTCAGTCTAGCGACTGGCTATGGGCTGGACGGCGGAGGGATCGGATTTCCAGTCTTGGCAGAAGCCAAGATTTTCTTCTCTCCAGGTCGTTCAGGCCGGTTCTGAGGTCCACCCAGCCTTCTATGTAGTGGGTACCTGGGGTGAAGCGACCGGGACGTGAAGCTGAGAACTCGCCTCCAACTAATGCCGAGGTCAAGAATATGTGGATATATACGTACACTCCCCCATGCTTCTTCATAACGTAGTATTTAATTAGAAATTTACTTTCTACCACGACATGAGTAACACTCCTTAACCTGAACCGGTACTACGTGGTATATATTTACTCTACATAAGACACGAACCCTTTTTCCATTTATTTACTGAGTGCTCTTGTTACAGCTATCGACATAGATTATATTTGTACGTAGGACTTTCTTGGACTATCTATTTATCGTGGCTCTACAGCCCTTTTGCTGGACCTTGGTCACTCTTTCAGATATTTAATCCTGTATTCAGTCGGTAGGACTCCTTGAATGGGAGATCAGGCCGTCGCAAGGCCGCTACCTACACACAGAACGACACAAACACAGAATAAACGCAGAAACATATGCATACCTTTATTTGGATTCTAACCCATGATCCCAGCGTTCGAGCGGGCGAAATATTTCATGTCTTCGACCGCGCGGCCACTGTGATCGGCCCCAGTTTTGAATTGCAGGATTCCTTGCCTTGTGCGTCTCTGCTACTACAACCGAGATGGCTGACATAGCGGTAACGTTCTAGACTCGCCCTGGGAGATATCCAGTTCGAATCTCGGCTTGGTTACTAACTACACAAACTAAGGATATTCGTGTGTTTTCTCAGTTTTGCCAAGCGACCGTGCGGATGTTACCGTGAAATAGGTTATGCTTATGACCACCTCGCTCCAAACCACAATCTACTCGTATTTACTTAAAACTACTATTTTTTAATTTAACCATCGGCAGAATTGATTAAACCCATTGCATTTTGGATAATAGTTCTACTTCCGTTGTCGGGTGAACAGGGTGCAAAAATCTGTTTAGTGGACCCTTCGATAAGGCTACCTACAGTTTGGGTGTAGCCCTACCGAAAGAGATTGAAAATAATTTCCAAACCAATTCGGTTTTAACAAATTTGGACGATGACCACATTCCCAGCATTGTCACACCGTCATCAAGAAACGTTATACTTGGCTCATTATAATCTGTCATTCCATGTTATATAACCTGTGTAGTTGAAAAAGCATCATCATATAACCTAAAAATCTATAAGTCTAAATGATGTTAGCAAATTTAGAGTTATGAGGCCTAAAGAGTGTTTCTGAACACTGAAAGGAAGTACTTTAGACTAACAACGATATTATGCATGTGTTCGTCAGGATACACCCTCGTGAACATAAATTTGACCTTGACTTAAATTTCGCTCATTGGTACCAACATATACGCATGAAGTATGTGTTCAAATAGAGTCACGGTTATATCAGCTCTTTCTGAATCATTTCCTTCCTCCACTTCATGGGGAAACATTACATTGTCTTGGTTTTAGAATGAATAAGGCAGCAAAACATTCGTAAATCTGTTCTTCTTTCAAGATAAGCAAGTGTAATAATAATTTGGGAAGTTGATAAGAGAAACGAAAGTGAATTACATGTATGCATTGCTTCCCCATTTGGCAGACTTTCCATGCGATTCCAGTGTATCTGTACTAACGCATTACCAACCAGTTTGGCTCAAGTAATACATTTTCTGACTTTCATCTTGGATGTACCCGGTTTGAATTCCGGCCATGAATTCTACTGTATATATCGATGTTTTCCGAGGTTTTCCTATTTCGTGTCTGGCAAATGTAGGGTTGGTGTCTTAAATTAGGTCACGAGCGTTTTTTCTCATATTGTTTTCATTATTTAATTATTCACTGCTATACATTCATTATATGTTTTGTAGTTCAAATACTGAGTCGTTAAAGACACCCACACAAAACATAATGGCATATTATTTGACGGTATGAGAATTGATTCTTTTCTTTTTAGGCTTGTTCGTAACCCCGTATCAACGTGGGTCCGCTCGTAAGCTGTTAGGAGACATGTTATTAAAATTTGAAGAAACGCAGAGAAAATTTTATTTGGTTATCTTCTCAGAAACATAGAAATTTTATCTTATTTCCTACCTGTGTTAGTTTCTGTTCGAAGTGACTTCCAGCGTTGCCTAAGCAAAATTTTGCTGCTCGGAAGCCGAAATTGTTACCTTCCGCATGCCTTTACGGCTATTCCGTATATGAGCAGCGCCGTCAGTGATTAGCCACAGGACTTCGCCTCTTGTCTGCCGTTTCTCTTAATAATCGAACTCCTTCATGTATTTCCACAAGAAAATGTATGGGGAGTGAGGTTTGGCAAGCACCGCCGTCCTCCACGACCAATTTAGTGATATCCATACTTGCTGCTTGTCGGCCAGTGTGAGGTGGAGGGCTGTTGTTGTGTTGCCACATGTTTAATCTCGTTAGGAGACAAACTTATTCCATAAAAACTAATACATCTCTCTTCAGCAAATGAAGTTAACAGTGTACCGTTAAATGAACCTCAGTAATAAACGAGCCGATCAGTTTATCGTGAATAAGATGATAAACATTTTTTTTTTCGCACCATCAGTTGTTTTATTTAGGTATACTTAATTTACAACAATAGCTCCATAATGGATGTGAACAAAACANAAATATGTTATATCAACATGTGTTTTGAAGAAAGCAGTCTTCTGGGATTTGGCACCGTGTATATGTGGTGTTAACCACATACACGACAAAAGGATGCTCAATAAATACGTAAAATGAAATAAACTAGTCTTAAAACGGTATTTATTAAAAAACCAACCCTTCAACCGATGTTCGATATGTAATTACCAAAACAAAATTAAACACTGTTCACAGAACCCGCCTGATGTTGGAGTTGTGGTAGTTGGGAATGATGAACGTTAAAGAGTGTTTAATTTTGTTTTGGTAATTACATATCGAACATCGGTTGAAGCGCTGGTTTTTAATAAATACCGTTTTAAGACTAGTTTATTTCATTTTACGTATTTATTGAGCATCCTTTTGTCGTGTATTTGGTTAACACCACATATACACGGTGCCAAATCCCAGAAGACTGCTTTCTTCAAAACACATGTTGATATAACATATTTCATTCAAAGCAATCGAATTAGTAATATTCTGATTTTCACCGAACTTTTCGTGAGACATCCTGTTTATTTAGTTTGGCTCTCATTGTAAGCCTTTTCTGTCACCTAGCTCTCGCTTGGTGATTCCACCACTGCATCACACTCAATACAATAAACCCACATGAAGACACCGAACAAGGGACCCTTGACTGTCACAACTACCTTCAGTGTGCGCAATAGTTGACCATCTGCTCCGTTTGTTGTGATGACAAGCACACTGAAACTATATACTTGGGAAAAGCTGTGAAATATATGCAATGTATTGCAACTTTCAACTTTCTAAACGCGATTTTACCTTGATGTATTTATAGTGAACCAGCATTGGCGTAACAAGGTGTGAAATCGTGCACACATCAGATTGTCTACTGGACCTCCAGAATATGAAATAGGTAGTCAGACCGTTCTACACTAAGTTCAGAAGTCTTGCAAGAAAATAGAATGTTACCCGTTGTTTTTAACGTGTTTATGTATAGTTTAATTAACGACAATGCCAGTAACTTGGACCTTTTGGCATAGCTTGATGATGTGACAATGAATGATAAATTAGAAAGATAGGGAAGGTAGGAGTCGTGATCTAATTTAAGGCACTATCCTGACATTGTGTTAGAGGGACTGAGGAAAACCACGAAAATAATCGTGATTGTAGCCAAGACCCTTTCCAAATACAAGTGTCTGATTAATCTTGTTCAGTTGCAACAGTATAAAGCTCATTCTGCGGGAGGGACACAGATTGGAGGTGCTTGAACATACTCGGACGTAAGAGACGCAACAGCGAAAAGAAAAAGAAATGCAAAAGCACTAACTTCATAATTATACTCATTGTTTGGTTACGTTATGATGGCTGACTGGAAGACATTGAGCACAGATCAGGGCCTACAACAAATAAAGGAAAAATCTGGTTGTGAGTCAACTTGAGAGGAGAACACTTATGAGAAATGGATGTAGTACAGAGGGTAATATTAAAATTAATATTAGGGAAATGCTTTGTAAGTATGTGAATTGGGATAAACTGACTGAGGATAGGAGTCAATGGTATATTTTCTCGGTTACATTGGTAATTATTCCAGTTCAATAATGGAAATTTCATCTCCCATGAATATCAATAACTGCTAAGAAATTGCCCAACTTTCTGTTCAAAGGATTACTGTGTTTTTGCACTGGGCAGTTTTGGTGTGAAGTAGACAGCTCACCTCTTACCTAGTGATCTAGTGCCGGGGTTAAGATGCGTGGAGGTATAGACTGTTTAATTAAGCAGATGATGAACTGCGTCCTTCCTTTACCTAAATCCGCAATATTTTGTATTTCATTGACCTGTTGATTGCTTTGATGGTTGGCTGTAAACTTAATATTCTTTCAACAACTTTGTGGGATTTATTTTATTTGGTTTATCATATTGTTTCAGAATTCTGGAGGAAAATTAGCAGATAAAGAGACACACAGTGTTATTTTCACCAGAAATGGTTTTATATATAAACAAGTGTGATGTATGGTATTTGTTACTGTCATCAGAAATTGGTGTCCACTTGGAAGCGGTACTGGTTTGTGCTGAAACATCAGTTACTCCTTTATTACAAGTCCCAGCTGGAATGCCTCAACCTCTCCGCATGTCGTGGTTCCCTCAACATGGGGTTAGCTTCATGCGTCCGCCCTGGGGCCCACAGAGGTCCTCCTGCAAGTGCTACTCAGGGATACACCATAGAAGTAGTTACAAGAACGCAGGTTATTGTACTTGTAAGTTTGAATAGATTTGCAATTCTGGAAGTGAGAATAAGAGAATACATGCAATTTTTAAAATGCAATATTTTTGTGATACCCATTTTCATTAACTTTAAAACAGTGTGGACAATTTAATTTGCAACAACCAAAATATCGCTGAAACTTAATGAAAGAAATAGGTACTCTGCTATGTAGGAAGTTCACAAAAAACTGATGCACATCTTAACGGTGTGTGTGTTTATTTTTTCAGCGAACAAAGGACCGTGGCTTACAGGAGCAATGGTTGAAAGCTCTCCTTGAATCAATGGCCCTTCCCAACATTTCAACCCCAATAAAAACTGGTGGAGGGCCAATTCACTTCCGATATTCCATGGACAATCTGCCCGTAGTTGAAGAGGTATATACTTGTAACATTTTTCTTAAAGTAACAGAGCTATATTTTAATCCAATTTGAAAAACTTGTTCCCAGGAGTCTTAGTTTTATGTAGGCTCCCTATCAGTTGATGCTGAGAATGTAGATTTATTCATTGTTATAAAATGAACATGCACTTCATTAAGGGAAGCTGCATTCACACTGGAGCATAAAACTACAACAGAAGCCAATAGGTCTCTTAACTATAAATATTTTCCCATCAAAGAACACTCTAAAGTTAGAGTTGAAGTTATTCTAAACAAAGATCTTTATTAATTTGACCGCAGTGAATACACAACAGTGTATCATGAGCTAGCAGTCATTCAGGGGGTCAAGATATTTCCCACCAACTAATCAATCATCATGTTCATCTAACGCAACATTGAGAATGTACAAGCTAGCCTAGTTAGGATAGCAAACAGCCATCAATCCATAAGTAGAAGAGCAATCTCTTCATTAAGCGCATAACAATAGCTAATACATCAAAATTAGCGATGTATGTTGCAAACTACATCATTCCAGATTCCTAAGTCACACATTATCACATTTGCCACCCAAAACCCAGCAACAAGTGGAATAAGGTGTCATACCCTTGTAGCTCCAGACTCATTTACCCTATTTCATTCCAGGGTTGTTCAATTTTACTTTATCCAAATACTAACTTCATTCATATGTAGATTTTACTTATGCAAATACTGTCATCAAACAAAAATCATTGAAAATATCGGCCATATGAGAGGTAAAGGGTTTTGCAGTTCAATAGAGCACTTGATAAGCATTTGTATTCACCTGATGATGACAAGATAAAATGGTCAAAATATGTTGTGATTTTAATAAAACAAATTTAATCTTATACATTCTCTGTGTTAAATTACATGGTAAATCATTTTGAATTGTTTCATTTTTGGTCCGTTACACTATCAGTCACAAAGTTAATAAAATGTCCGTCGAGTGTAACAATTTGTAGGTCACTTCTTTATCACTTCTGCCTTACATGTTTCGGTTTGACACAACCATCATCAGAGGCACTTACTACAATTATGAAACCACTGTCGTTGTTTATGATGTACACAGTTATGTTTGTTGTGTGGACACTGCTACGATATGTCGACGTGTAAAAGCACAACACTTGCTAGGATAGTTGAGTGAACTATCAATTCTCACCTTCCATCTGAAACTGCCCTCAAGTTAAAACGCCAATGTTAAAATATTTAAATATTTAAAAAAATTTTAAAATTTTTTTTTAAAACATTTGATGTAAAATGTTAAGCTCCTCCTTGTTAATTCATCCCGAAGATGGGAGATGTCAGCTTGAGGTTGTATGGCTTATGGTTAGATGTTTCCTATGTGCTGTGTGTTGTGTAAGTGATAAAGAAGTGACCTACAAATTGTTACACTCGACGGACTTTTTATTAACTTTGTGGTAAATCATAATTAAGTAGTTTCATCATGCAACAGGATATATTCCATAAAGATATTTCTCACCATTCATACAACCTGAAGATTCACTACCATGTTCTTAAGATTTTAATCGTTTCTTGCATCCTGTTGTGTGTTTAATTAATAGTAGAGTGAATTTACCGACTACACAACACGTTTTTTTTATTATCACTACATGTTTCGACCTCAAGAGGTCATCCTCGGGTGTATGAACATGTATGTATAATGTATGTATGTGTATGTATAATTACACGCAGTCACATTCACTTTTCACTCATTCGACCCTGTATCTTATCCAGATTTACGCTCCCTAATATATCGAGTTCTTTTTATAAAACACAGGTTAAAATTATTAATTTAATTTAATTATCTTAACTTAACAACTAAATTATAATAATAATTTTAACCTGTGTTTTATAAAAAGAACTCGATATATTAGGGAGCGTAAATCTGGATAAGATACAGGGTCGAATGAGTGAAAAGTGAATGTGACCGCGTGTAATTATACAGCCGTGTTCATACACCTGAGGATGACCTCTTGAGGTCGAAACATGTAGTGATAATAAAAAACGTGTTGTGTAGTTGGTAAATTCACTCTACTATTAATGTTCTTAAGAGCTTGCTGTTAATCCCTATCATTAGCTAGATAACTCTAGTCCACACTATCACACTCTATTTCTTTAAAATCCAATTCAATATTATCCCATTCATTACTAGATCTTCCAAGTGGTCTCTTCTTTCAACTGTTCCAATTAAAATTCTGCATGCATATAATATTTTTCCAATGTTGACTGTGTCCCACTTATCTGATCCTCCTTGATTTGATCATCTAATACTAATTGATGAAGGATACAAATTATGAGACTGTTCACTGTCATGCTGTTGCTTCCGCCTTAGATCCAAATATTTTCCTGAGCACTGTGTACTCAAACATTCTCAATTTATTTGTGAGTGTTTATACTCCTACAGCACACATTGATTCTGTTGTGTAATAAGTGATTGCATTGAACATAGAGACAGATCAATCAGTTTATTATATTAAAATGTTACATGCTTTGGTCATGGTTGACCATCCTCATGTGCATACATATTTGATCATAAATATATTACACTATATTAATTTCAGCTCAAGAGGGTGAAGGTTATTGTTAACTGAAAAAGCATAAGCCATGGTTTGATGAAGGATGCTCAAAATTATTAGAACAAAGAAAACAAGCCAAATTACAGTGGTTACAGGATCCAAGCAAAATAAATGGGGATAATCTGAACAATATAAGATGTGAAACCAGCAGGCATTTCAGGAACAAAAAGAGGGAATATCTGAAAGACAAATTTGACGAGTTTGAAGCGAACAATAAGAACAAGAACATTAGAGACCTGTAACAAGGAATAAATAAATTTAAGAGAGGTTACCAATCTAGAAGTAACTTAGTGAAGAATGAGATGGTGATGTGCTTGCAGATTTGCACAACATTTTGAATAAAAAAGGTAAAGCTATCCTTGTAAAGGACCATGGAGGCCCATAGGGTTGTGAGACGTTGAGGGTCCCACATTATCTAGACAGTCGGCTCACAGATGGTGGTAAGTTTTTCAGATTTATGTGCCGGCCACCCTCTACTCCCGAAGAAGATTCCCTGTACTCATTTCTCTAAGAACTACTTTCCTCAGTTTTAGCAGCTCACTGTGCTTAGCCACTCATTGGGTGACAACTCTTAACAGTTTTTTTTGGTTGAGTAGCCACCGTTGATGAAGTTTCTTCTAACTGGCCTCTTCTTTTTACTCAATCCTGGTCCTTTTGTTGAGCGCCATGTGATCTTAAAACCATGTTGAAATACAGGGTGGGCCAGACTCAATTAGGCAGTTTTTGATCATTAATAACTAACCAATCCAACAACACATGGGATAATAGGAAAGTACCTTTTGTTGACGATAGATGGCAGCATCATACGGTATGCTGTGAACAAGGTCAATACTCTGCCTACTTAGTGCGCATCGAGGAAATGTCATGGCCGGTAGACGGTTGTCTATCGAGCAGCGTGTAAAATGTGTGCGCCTTTTCTCAGTTACTAACAATGCATCAGAAGTCCAGCAGTCCACAGGGACACAATCGTCTGAATAAACAAGCAGTTTAATGAAACTGCCAGTGCTTTGAATCCCAAGTATCCTGGTCAGCCGAGAACTGTCCGAACTGCTGACACACAAGCACGTGTTGCTGCGGAACTGGCATCATCTCCTCAGAAATCGAAGTCTACCCACCGTTTGTCGGCCCTACTGGACATTTCGAGGACAAGTTTGTGGAGAGTTTTGAGTGACATGAAGCTGACGCCATACCATCCACGGCTTATTCATGTTCTTAACTAGGACGACTTCAACAGGTGACTTGAGTTCGCCAAGTTGATGCTGACCAAGTTTTAGGAGGACTCTGACCTTATCCAGAAAACTGTCTGGACTGATGAGGCCAAATTTCACACATCAGGATCGGTCAACAGACACAATTGCGTGTTTTGGCGGCCAGAGAACCCCAGTGCCACCATTGAATATGATTTCCAGTCCCCAGGAGTGATGGTGTGGGGCGATATGATATACGAAGGACAGATTGGCCTGTTCTTCCTTGAAGGTTGCGTCATGGGGGAACCTACCTAAAGTTGCTGAGGGAAAGTGTCATCCCAGAACTTCAGAGGAGAGAGAGAACTTTGATGAACTGTGGTGGCAGCAAGATGGGGCCCCACCACACTTCGCCAATATTGTTCGGGCGTTCTTGCATGAAGTTTTTCCTCAACGCTGGATTGGCCATCGAGGGCCCGTGGAGTGGCCAGCCCGATCACCCGACATCACCCCACCAGACTTTTTCCTTTGGGGTTACCTCAAAGACAAGGTGTACCCTAATCCCATTGACAGTGTGAAACATCTGCGTGAGGTGATTGTTCAGGAGTTCAATAAAGTTCCGGTGAATATGTGTAGAAAGGCATGTGAAAATGTTGCTTTGCATCTGCAAGCCTGTGTTGACTTAGGTGGTGCCCAGGTTGAGCAGCATGTTGAAAATCGATGACTTATGTGTGTGCGATTCCATTTTTGTAACCATTGCAATTGTTAACATCTATATAAATAAAAATAACATCTAATCAAAAACTGCCTAATTGAGTCTGGCCCACTCTGTATAAGGAGTGATGTGGATGGAAAGAGAGATTTGTGTGAGCATGAGGATTCTGCTCAAGGCTTAATGGGCCTTGCTCTAACAAGAGAGGGTTGCTTGAAGAAGTCACTTGACCACACTCTTACTAGTGAAACGATGAACTTAATTTATGTTTAACAGCACTACACGATATTATACAGTCAATCTTTTTTTGCTGATGTAACTACACTAGCACACAACTCTACACAACACCCAGCGATGCAGTACAATGGTTACGATGAATACAATGAATACTATGATTATACACTCACTCACTGATCTGCGTCATCCAAAATCAGCCTTTAAATACTCTTGGATGATGTAATACTTCCAGAATCTTCCACATCGAGATTTTGATTGAAGCTTCCACACTGTTCTACAAATTGAGATTGTCTGGAAGTTTATTTAAATGGGTTGATTGGAGGAGTAATTGATACACATACTATGCCAGCTATCATGGGATTGTCTCAAGTTGCAGTAGTCCTTATCTAAGCATTAACAGAGTCTCCAATTGATGCAAGTAAGGAGGTTGGTCTAGAAGTAAACAGGGATAACTAAGTATAGGTTGCTGTCACATTTCCAGCAAGCAGGGCAAAATTATTACATAAAGATAGGTAGTAGATGCTTTGAGAATGTGGCATAGTTCAAATTTTTGAGAACACCAGTAACAAACCAAAATTTGATTGAGGAGGACTTAAGGAGGAAATTAATGTGGGTAATGCTTGCTACTATTTTGGCCAGAACTTTCTGCCTTCTCTTCTATTGTCTAAAACATTAAAGTTAGAATATACAAAAGTATATATTTTCCTGTGGTTCTGTGTGGTTGTCGAACTTGGCTTTTGACATTAAGGGAGGAACATACAAGTAGGCTGGGTGTGTTTGAGAACAAGGTGCTGAGGAGAATATTTGGACCGAATAGAGATGAAGTGATGGGAGGTTGGAGAAAACTGCACAATGAGGAACATCATAATTTGTATTCTTTGTCAAGTATAATTAGAATACTCAAGTCACAGAGGATGAGATGGACAGGGCATGTAGCACGAATGACGGCAAGATGAATGCATGTAGGATATTGGTGGGAAAGCCAGAAGGAAAGAGACTACTAGGAAGATCAAGATTAGGATGGTGGAGAATATTAAAATGGATCTGAGAGAGATAGGTTGGGGTGGTATGGACTGGATTGATCTGGCTCAAAGTAGAGATCAGTGGACAGCTCTTGTGAACATGGTAACGAACTTTCGGGCTCCATAGAATTCTGGGAAGTTCATGAGTAGCTGCACAACTGGTGGCTTCTCAAGAAGGGCTCAGTTTCGTGAAGTTAGTTAGATAGTTACTTAGTTTCAATGTGCTATATTGCTGAATAAGTAATCAAAATGGACCTATTTTATTCATATAGTTAAAAGATTTCAAAGCATGCATGTAAGGGCATGAAAATTATAAATTGTGAAATGTGTGTATATAAAACGTTATGACTATATAACATATAAAACGTGACTTTATTGATTGCTAAATGGCTTATGTGTTTGTTTTCTGTGGATTTACATATTATATTTATAGAAGTATATTATATGTGGTATGTCACTACCACTATAGGGTGTTTGGAATATCTTCATATTTTCTTCTCTATGTCCAGTTGATATACTCATATATCTGTAATGTAGAAAAGACAGCTCTCGATCTATTCTTAACTTTATTCTTTCTGGTCCACCATGCTATTTAAATTTTATAAAATGATTTGACAACACCGTTCAGTATGACTTAGTATATATTTGTTTATATAGTGCCTTTACATATTTCGGTCATTTTGACCATCTTGAACATGCTGAGGAACTACTGTTACATAGATTGTAATATAAGTACATATGCTGAAAGTTTTGTATAAAAGATTTTTTATTAAAATGTGTTTGAGTTAATAATATTATTATTAATTATTATATTATTAATTTTCTTAATATTTAAAACCTTGAACCGCTGAGGTTTGTGTCTTTGTGCCTCTTCTGTCAANTCTGTCAAAACAGGAGATTGTGGTGTTATTTGACATCCTCTGAGGTCCAGGCAGCGTTAGTTCCATACCTTTTTTGTATGGTTCATTAAGAATCTGCAATTATGAAATGGGTATTTTTATATAAAAGTGTATGTACTTAATATTTCTTTGACTCCAATTTTTGTTTGAGTTGTATCTTGTGTGTTCCCCAGTATACAACAAAAGGAGAAACAACTCGACAATAACACAGTTAGGAACACACAAGATACAGCTCAAATAAAAATTGGAGTCAAAGAAATATTAAGTACATACACTTTTATATAAAAATACCCATTTCATGATTGCAGATCCTTAATGAACCATACAAAAAAGGTATGGAACTAACGCTGCCTGGACCTCAGAGGATGTCAAATAACACCACAATCTCCTGTTTTGACAGAAGAGGCACACAGACACAAACCTCAGTGGTTCAGATTTTTAAATATTAAGAACTTTATTAATACATTTTAACTGAAACACATTTTAATAAAAATTCTTTTATACAGAACATTAAGCATGTATTATAATCTATGTAATAGTAGTTCCTTAGCATGTTCTTATTGTATTCTGAAGATGGCCACAACTGATCGAATCATGTAAAGGCACTATATATACAAATACAGTATATACTAAATCACACTGGATGGTGTTGTCAAATCAATTTATAATAACTCTCAATCTATGTTCTTCCATTAATATGAGAGAGCAAGATGAACATGCACGTGAAACAATAGGCAAAATTATAATTTTACAAATTTTAATCTTCAATTTTATAAATAGGAAATGGGAAGAAGAAATATTCTGTGCTGAATGGTATCAGAATTCAATCTGCTCTTCTTAAAAATGTGGTTGTGTCTTGCATTCTGACGAACAGAAATGAACACATAACTTCTATTTTTTACAATTCTTCATTAATTCCAAGGATGTTTGCCCTTGTGGACGTACATACTTGGAGAAAATTGTTTGTTTAGATGTTATGTTTTAAAAAGTTGTGTACGACAGCTTTTGTTTGTAAAAAGTAGTGTGTTAGTTTTTGTAATATGGCAGCCATTTTATTCAATTTTCAAATAAATGTATGCATGCCATTTATAATAAAAACTCCATGGCTTTAGTCCGCAAGTGAACTATACCGACCGAGTGACCGCTGCTCGTCGGTGAAGTTAGTGCCGACTTTACAATATTAATTAATCACAACCATTAAAGTGGACTGTTTCTTATTCACATTACTAGAATGTTTGGGTAGTTCTATACATTCATTGTATTTATATATTACAGCTAGAGACAGAAGAGAAACAGAAAACTTTACCCCACCTAACCACGCTCACACGTCATGACAGCGTGCTTGGGCATATTAAACGAATCAGTGGTCATTCATATGGGGGAAGTCTGGATACAATCCTGAAACATCAACCCATGATTCATGTGCAGCCACAGCGATCCCCACAGCAGCCAAAAATCCCACGAATCCGAGCTGTAGACAGAATGTTAGGTTTACAGTATTTAAAAAACTATGAAAGAAAAGCATCTTTGACAAATGATGTGGCAAATGAAGAACAATGCTTGCGTGACTCTACATATTTATTTTCAAAGGAAAAAATTTCGAAACAAAGTGGAGGACAAGAAATAAAATACAATGATGTTGCAGTAGACAGACTTATGGACACATCATCCGACTCGGAAGAAATGAGGAAGAACAACTGTAAGATAAGAGACGATCAAAGAAACCAAGAAGCTAAACTATCAATTGTTTCAAAGGAAGAAAATCAAAATCACGAAAAATTCAGTATGATAAGCACAGAAGAAGCAAGGAAATATACTATTAATTTCCTGGAGAACCAGAGATATTTATCTTCCTTGGAAAATGAAGTAGATATTATCGTTGAAAACAAACTCTATGAGACAACTAAGGAGGCAGAGTGTGATAATGATGAACATGAAACTGAAAACAAATTCTATGAAAAAGTCAAGCATGGTGAAGAAGGCAAACAGTATGATTCTGAAGAAGAAATTTGTAGCTTTGCACAAGTACACAATGTTCCTGAAGATGAAAAAATGTATGCAGTTGTGTCAGTTGACACAAATGGAATGAAAGAAGTCCAGAGAAATGAGGGAGATTCAGAAGATAACGGGGAGTATGATTACTACTCTAGCTATACTAGAGTTTCACCGGTGCATTCGCTGTCAGAGCAGCTCAACAGGACCACTCTAGAACCTGATTTACCACCTCGACCATCAGTGGGTACTGGTGATTCATCTAAAAATCAACATATACAGCAAACCTCTAAAGCTGAGGATGAAGAAGCAGATTATAGTGAATATTATGAAAGCACTGATAGTTATAATGCCGGGATTTCTCCCTCACAGTTGTTATCATCAGGTGGAGAAAGCTCAACCTCTGAGAAAAAGAGATCAACATTACATGGCATTAAACTGAAGAAAAAGAAGTCTTCAAGAAAGGAAACGGTTGCTTCAGAGGATTGGAGTAGTAACAGTAAGAAAAAACACAGAATGAGTTTCCTACGCCGTATGTTGAAGCATTATCATAAGAAGTCACAATCTAATTTCGAGACTGTGGTAATTTCTGTTGACCGTGAAGATAGTGATGAGCCTGAGTATGAAACAGTTGATTATTCAGCTCCAACTTTGAAAAGTGAAGGTACTGAGGAGAAGTTACAAGATCCTGTGCCTAGAAGCAACAACATTGAAATTCCTGACAAAGAAGTACGTAAGAAGAAGCTGTTTGGAAAACAGAATCTCCTGAGAAAAGAAACAATGCTTGAGTTGAAAATGAAACTAAAGAGTCGTGATTGTGCAGTGGAGACTGCTCCAACTGCTCCTGCCAATGAGGTGAGCATCTTCAGTTACACTCTATTTAGTATTTGTTCCTTTTGAGACACAGAAATTCTTGCTATGATGAATTTAAAAATATGCATAATTCTTGCATTAAGGTATTCTTGAAAGCAAAGCACACTTACTACAATCTTTTGTGCTTCTGATGTCTATATTTAGAATCTGTTTAACAAACTGCAGCCTAATATTCATACAGAATCTTTCCAAGTACCATTAAGCAATGATTTGAATATATTAAATATTAGTCCACTCATACACAACATATATATAAAATATGTTTTTATAAATTAAGAATGTTTGCTGGTACTATGAAAAATGAATTCAAATATCACTAAATTAATGTGTATTTCTCTTACTGAGCCATTTTCCTGTAAACAGGCTATCTATATATAGATCATTAGACATATGAAATATCAAATTATCCATTACTAATGAAACAGTAATTTAAATATTTCTTTTCCATATTGGACATACATTACACATGTTTATGAGACTTATACATACATACACATGTTTTGTGCACACCACCCACCCATATGCACATGCATAATACTTGTATAATAAGCAAAACTAAATGTTACATAGGCAGACTTGTGAGTGATTCTAGCGAAACTGAATCCTCATTCTGCCATCCAGTTCTGTTTAGTACAGCAGGACTCATAACATTGTACTCTCTTAGTTTCACTGATATCAACATAAAAATTCACATTTGTCCTTCTAAGTTGCTTTTGTTTTGCTGCAGATCTTAGACCGTGAGAAAAGAAGAAATTGAGGTGTCACCTTAGTACTTATTAATAAATACTCGTATTTTTAAGTGCTGTTCTGATACTTGCCTCAGAAACTTTGAAAATGCAGGGAGCCACCTCCATGACAAATCTGTAAATGACAATAGATGTGTCGATCATTTATATAAGTAATTTTATGCCACTGAATTAATGTTGCAGACAAGATCTGATATTTAAATAACTGGACTGTATCTTAAAATAATGTGTATAAAGGATGTAAATAAATTATGTTACAGAACTCTGTCGTAGATAGATGGGTTCAATGTGATCATATTTTGTTAATAACCCATGTCCAGAAATGCTTTGTTTACACACTAGGGCCTCTGAAATATGAAGGAAGACGCCCTCACCTCTTACCTCTGCAGCTTACTAGTGATATTTACCTAATATTTCTCCAAGAGACCTTACCCAAGGTGCTGAAATTAGTGCCTTTGGAAGCCCGTTGTGAAATGTGGTTCCAGCATGATGGTGCCCCAACACAGTGCACTAATGTCATCTGTGAGTATTTGGATGAAGCTTTTGGCAAAAGATGGATTGGACATGGAGGCCCAACCACCTGGCCCCCTCACTCCCCTGACTTGACTCCACTGGATTTCTTTCTGTGGGGGCACTTGTAAAGCCTGGCGCACAAGACTCCAGTGGAAACACAACATGATCTTGTGGCAAGAAATGCAGCAGCAGCTGGAACCATCAGGGCAATGCCAAGAATCTTTCAATGAGCTCAGCATAACATAGCCAGGCAGTGCAGAAGATGCAATGAAGTTAGTAGCCACAATTTTGAGCAACTTTTATAATGTAAAATAGTGATAACATCCCCTAAAACTTATGCCTCCTTATGGAAAATTTTCTGACCCTTAGTGTCAAAAGGAAGCGTTTCTGGACTTGAGTGTATTAACAAAATATTATCAGATTGAACTCATCTCTCTACCACAGAGCATTGTAACATATATTTATTTACACTCTGTATATACTATCTTTAATTGTCACTGCATGTGGTCACCTCCTAAGTAACCACTTTATGATATTATATATATTGTAAAACCTCTGCCACGTTTGGAAATACTGCTGGAAATAATTTTCTGAAAGACCTTGCAGTATTTTTGTCACATATCTCAGAATATATTCAAGTGCTGTAGAATAAAGTATTGTTAGGAAGAATTTTAGTTACAAGAATATGAACAAGCCATATAAGTACATTTCAGACAAGTATGATCGTTGTCTGAACACCAATATTCTTTTCTTAGAAAAAATAATTTTACCAAAAACATAGTTGTAACTTCTCAATGGATTTTGATGAATTTTGTATTTGTGAGTTATATATTGAAAATTGTTAGGCAACAATTCTGTCATTCCACAGTGAACTTCTGTAATCACAGCTTAGAATGAAGTTAAAATGAGAATTTTCCAAATCCCACCCATCCCAGAAACAAATTGCCCAAAGTCCTGTAGGTGAGTATCGTGTATCTGTAATTTTTCAAATTCTGCTTCAATTTATTTCTTCTTTCCTCTGCATAAATATAATGAGTGTAGTTTAATATGTTGATATATATTATTTCACAGGACAATCAGGGGTATGAATGTATTTCACCAGATGATCTGCCAGACAGGAAGCCTATTCTTACTCCAAGATCTCGCAAGCGAAATTTGAATCAAGATAAAAAAGGTCAAGTGAAAGACAGTGCTGGTCCCCTTCCCTCTTTCCATGAGAATATATCCTTGAAACCAATCATTCTTAATAATTTATTAGTATTCTATAATTTTCATATGCAATGTTTCTCATTTTTTACCATCAACCATCAACGATAGTTTGGAAGCTATATATTGATTGATTATAAATTGATTAATTTCATAATTTTGTAACCTGTGTAACATGAGGCCGTAAGTTTTAGGAAACTTGTCTAGCATTTCTGAGAGTAATAGTTTTGAATTGACAGTACTTGTAAGTCTGTATTGAGCACATCCTTTCATGAGAAGTTAATACAACACTGTAACATCTGTCTCATGTGCTAGCTAGAGTGATAAGATATGACTGAATTCCTGAATATATCATAATTCTTAGAACACCGTGACAGTTAACAAAATGTTGTGCATGGAACACAGAAAACTACTACAATTTGTAGTAGGTGGTTATATATACATTTTATTCTCATAATCACAGAAAAGACAATACTTCAGAATTCATACAGAAGCAATTTTATGTCAGTACCAGTGATTGCTCTGTGGGAACATCTCACATATTATCACGCATTTCTGCAACGCTTGCTATTCAGCTCACTTTTCACCATCACACGCGCTAACCAATCACATTCTGAGTCTGAGTCTGAGTCACGTTGCAACTGACGGTCAGTCAGTCTGTCTGTCTTGGTGTCGAGCCCCAGCTGGGGCTCATGACCAGATATTTCTTTTGAATGAAAGTTACTGTCTTGTCCATGTGTAGCGCCCTCTCTGACGAGAGGTCGGGTCTGTCATTTGTCAGTCAGTCTGTAGTACTAAGTCCACTGTCTGTATTTACACATATTAATAATACACTTATTTCTTATTTAAATGTACATATATACACGGCCTCCGTCAGTCCAGGCTAGGTACAGCAGATTATGCCCTTTTTATATATATATAAATATCCTAGTAGTATTAGCTACCACGGCAGTCTAGTCACTTGAACGGTCGTATGCCTGACCGCCGCCAAGTTTAAGCCTCTTATACTTTCTGTGTCGGGCTTCGCCTTGTCCGATGTTGCGAACATTCTCATTATCATGATTTTGTATGACTTCTGCTTGTTGCCTGCATAATTTTGTTATGTAATCATATACGTACGGGATTTTGAATGCCATGTGCAAATCGCGGACCGGTGTGCGCCTTGGAAAATTGCCAATCGTGCGGAGAACCTTGTTTTGCAGGCGCTGCAATTTCACTAGATGAGTGTCTGCCGCAAACTCCCAGGCGGGACTAGCATAAGTCATTACGGATCTAATAAGAGCTTTATGGAGGGTCAGTTTAATGTTAGCGCTCAATCGCTCACTTTTGAATAGGGAATACACTCTAATGAATGTTCTAAAGGCCTTGGCTTCGATCATTTCTATGTGTAATCTCCAAGTCACTTTCTTATCGAAGATTACACCTAGATATTTTGCACTATTTACAAATGGAATGTTTCTTCCGTTTAGAGTAAGACAAGACTCAGGCGGTCGACGACCACGAGAGAAGTAGACCCCAAGAGTCTTATCTCCATTAATTTTTATATTCCATCG